AGTGCTTGTTGTTTGTCATTTCTCCGATCACAAATGCAGACATGGTTTTATGTTTACGCGGCGCGGCGTGATGCAACGCAACGCGTAAAAATACATTATTTTTTTAAACCGCATAAACACATTTCATTACACCAAATACACAAAATAATGCTCTTTTTAGCAGCATCATATGACCCCTTTAAGACTGGTTTTGTGGTCCAGGGTCACATATTATCAATCGCCATTTACACTGAATGCAATAAAATCTGAATCACTGTCACGCAAAATTTTTTGTTATTGAGAGAAGACATGCCCTTAAGGAGCTTCAGGCTTCTTGTCCGGTCGGGCAAGTAAAATTCTCTCTCACTTGCCTTTAAAAAATGTACTTGTTCCAAGACATGTGTTAATCAAGCCCTGTGGTTTCCCTACAGTTTACTTTGGCCCAACTCGTATTACAAATTACGAACTCTGTGTATTTTTCACTCACAGTGTAAAACTTCCACGTTGATGACATGTTTACATGCGGATGCGAGCGTAGCTGTGACATCAAAACAGACTTGAGACTGACCAGCTGGTCACCGGTCCGGGCCAATCATGCAGAAAATCTGCTAATTCCGGTTGATCAGAGCATCTCTACAAAAAACTCTTGACAAATTTGAATTTATATTGAGAACATCTGTGAACAGTATTTGTGACATGGAACAATAATTAAAATGGTTGAATTTACAGCAGAAGATCTGGGAGCAAGGCAGAGGCAAGTCCTTTGCCATGATGGACCTTTTTCACATTTCAGCAGAAGTCATCATAGTTGGGTAAACTTCTATAGCAGTGAATGGGAGACTACCACAAATATATTTTTTTGCATTCACATTTGCTCAAATAGCAAAAGAAAAACTACATGATAGCATTTTCATGACTGATAAAGGCAGTGAGTAGAGAGAACGATGTCAAATTTACCGTCACTTCTATAGACGCTGTATTAGAAACTCCCTTGCATTAGCGTTAACTAGTTTTTTGTAATTTGATGCAAAGGTAATGTAATAAAAAGTATAGTGTACATCCATTTTTTTCAATAAAAGAAAATACAAAAAACTTGAAGACCGTTGAAACACGTCATCACAGTCTTGTGAAAAGGGTCCATTATGATGATATGTTAAATGAAGTGGCGAAAACCAGTTTGTGCACAAGACAAATGCAAATATTTACTCAGATCATGCAAATTATTTGAAAGATATCAGGCAGATTCTAGGTCACAAATCACCACGTGATAAAGGCTATTTCAAGATAGCGTTATCTGCCTGAAACATCCTGTCAGCGGGAGCTCTATGATGTGCAGATCTTCAGTTTTTTAACCATTAATATGTTGGTTTTCATTCTCCACCCGCAATTATCTACTCCTTATGGGCATGTCTTCTCTTATATTCTCATTCAACCAGAGTATTTATAATGAACTAAACCATTAATTTACATCCTATTTAAATTGCAATATGGAATGAAAAGGTTTATTTTTTATTATGCATTTATCATTTTCTTATGCATGAATTTAAGGGTAGGTTATGGTTTTGATTAGAGTGAGGCTTATGAATGTTTAAAAAGTGTGTTGGCTCCATGACTAACAAAGGATGTTGATGCAGGGTCATGTGTTTAATCACGCCGTGATGTTTGCAGGTACCTGCGTGATGTGGTTGAGTCTACGGCCTGAGCATTTCAACTCATACTCTGGTCTGATCTGTAGCTGCTGCTGTTCCTCCTCAAAGTCCACAAGGTCCCACTCATACTCCAGACGGGCCTGCCGCCGCTTCCAGAACTCCAGGAACAGGGTCACTGCAAAGCACCCAGAGAAAGAAAGTGAGAAACAGAGCAGAAAATATAACCAGTGTTGGGAAGGTTACTTTGGAAATGTAATAGGTTACAGATTACAAGTTACCCTATTTACCATGGAATAAAAAAAAAAAAGTGACTTTTTATCTAACAATTCACACTTTGTTTCTCGCAATTCTATGAAAAAAGTCAAAAGTGCAAGATATAAACTCAGAATTCTGACTTTTTTTTCTTGCATTTCTGCGTTAACATGTCACAATTCTCAATTTATGTCTTATAATTATGAATTTGTTTCTCCGAATTTTTACTTCACATCTCGCAATTCAGCCTTTTTTCCCCTCAGAATTCAGAATCTCACAATTCTGAGTTCATATCTCAATGCTGAGTTTAGCAATTCTGACTTTGTGAGATAAAAAGTCACAATTACTTTGTTTTCTGTGGCTAAAACATTTGACTAATACTTTATAACACCTATCAGAAGTTACGGTTTACAAAAGAACAAAAATATAAACCATCTCATTCAATATAACAATATTTAGTGTTCAACTGCAAAAACCATTACAATAATAAAGAAACAACAACTTCCTGTCTGATGGCTTAGCTTTTACAGTCACAGGCACTGTAATTGTGGTCACAAATAGCAAAGGGTTGTTAAGAATGCATGCAACCACATAGTTTCAGACTCAGGAGGCAAGGATGTGTGTTCATTTGACTCATATAACCTTCCAGTGATACTAACCTTGTGATGTTGTCTTCGTAACTAAGCACACCATAAACAAAACAGATCACACCCATGACTGCAGCAAAAAACAGCATTTCTGTGTAAAAGCCCAGCCAGGCAAAGTAGATACCAATCTTCTCACCATAGTACTTCCTATGACAAAACACAAAGAGGAAATTAAACACTATGGTTTGATATGCTGCTCTAGAAAATTGAGGTTAATCATTTCTTCTACTGAGATGTAATATTGCAATCAGCAGTGTAATGAACATGCATCTGCTCCAGATTTGGTTATTGCACTCTTTGACAGGTATGCATGCATTGTGTCTGCAGTGTCCTCACTTGATCAGATTGAGTGGTTGCTTCTTGTAGAAGCAGAGGAATCGAGCCCAGTTTTTATACAGATGGTACCTCTCACTCTCACACTGCATGTCTTGTGCCTTCTTCCAATAATTACACTGAGGAAAAAACAGCAATCAGATGTTGACCAAAGACACAAACTCTTTTAACATGCAAGGGGACTTTTTTGTCTTTGAGGTTGGTAAGATTTTTTTTTAAATGTTTTTAAAAGGAGTCTGTTGTGTGCACCAAGGATACATTTATTTGATCAAAACACAGTAAAACTGTATTGTTATTGTGTAATATCATTACAATTTAAAATAGCTGTTTTCAATTTTAATTATTTTTTAAATGTAATTTATTTCTCTGATGGCATTAATAATTAAATAATAATTAAATATATATTTTTTGTAACAATGTAAAAGTCACTACTAAGTCACTACAGTAAAAATGTATTGCCACTTTTGATAAATTTAAAGCATCCTTAATTAATAAAAGTAAAAGTATTAATTTATATATATAAAAAAATCATAGATAGATAGAATAAAGTGCATAAATCTCACACTCACATCATGAAGGGGATAAGCTGAAGTGTAGGTGCCGTTGTTCAGCAGACGTTTAATTCCAGTCTTATCTTTCTCTTTACGGTCTTCCTTGTAGTAAGGGCAGCGGGTCAGAATGTAGTACACGATCCTGTTGCGAGTGGAGGGAGGAAAAAATGTGTCCTTATCATCAATGAGGAAGAAGTCGACCTTGCTCTTGTCAAAAGGTGCAGTGAAGTAGTCCGGCTCTGGCCTCATGACATTGTCTGGCAGCCGGAAAGGTTGAGTGAGCCACTCCAGAGGAACTTCTCGAGCTTTGGGAATATCACTCGCTTTAAAGGGCACTTTGATCTTTAGCACATCAGCATAGGTGGCCAACACTTCCCACGGTGCGTGAATCTTCAGATAATATGTCTTACGGTCATCTGACTCCTGCAGGGGAAGATATTTTTGAGTGGAGAAGTGTTATATGTGATTATCAAATGCACAAAATCACATCAAATGACATCGTGAAGTAATGCATGTATATATATATATATATATATATATATATATATATATCATATATGCTGTATATATATTTAAATTTAAATTATATTTACAATATATATATAGTAATCAAATTGCTTTT